TGTAGGTTTAAAATGTGGAAAATGATTGTAATAATTAATATAACCTAGAAAAAAAGACGTACAAAAAAAGTATATTTTCATTTCTTCTTTCTAGGTTCACATTTATTGCCAAAAGATGTCTACTCTCCTGGAAAACATCTTTGCCATAATTAATCTTTTCAAGCAATATTCAAAAAAAGATAAAAACACTGACACATTGAGCAAAAAAGAGCTGAAGGAACTTCTGGAAAAGGAGTTTCGGCCAATCCTGAAGGTAAGAGTCTCTGACAAGACCAAACGATACAGCATTTGTGTTTCTCATCAATAATCTAACCAAGGGTTATTTTGAGCTCTTTGTGAACTATTTCATTTAAAATAGGAACAGAGTTAATCTTGTCTCAAAAGAGATAGATTTTATTTTCTTCCCCTATACCTGGATGTACATTATAAACACACAGACACACTCAGAGAAAAAAATATATAAATATTTAAAAATTAATGTAAATTAGTTCTTAGTATTTGGTATTTATAATATTCTGCCCAACGTCAACATTATAAGGGGGTATTTACTAAATAAAATTAAGCAATGAATTATATATACTTCTGACTTTTAAAATAAGAAAAAGGGTCACCTACCCCATCATATCTTGACACCTTACTAGTCTTTACATCTTTGTTCACATATAACACCTGAGCGAGGATGAGATGAAAAAGTCTTAAAAAAAACAAAAAGATTTTGTTCCACTATTTGATACTCAAAGATCACAGTGCCTAAATTAACTGTGAATTAATTGGCTGATAATGTGATTCTGTCTGATGCAGTCTCCCTCTGTGACTTCCCTCTGTACAGAATCCAGATGACCCAGATACAGTTGAAGTATTCATGGATCACCTGGATATAGACCACAACAAGAAAATTGACTTCACTGAGTTTCTTCTGATGGTATTCAAGTTGGCGCAAGCATACTATGAGTCTACCAGAAAACAGAATTTACCAATATCAGGACACAAGCACAGAAAGCACAGTCATCATGATAAACATGAAGATAATAAAGAGGAAGAAAACAAAGAAAACAGAAAGAGACCCTTAAGTCTGGAAAGAAGAAACAATAGAAAAGGGAATACGGGAAGGTCCAAGAGTCCAAGAGAAAGAGGGGGAAAAAGGCATGAATCTAGTTCTGAAAAAAAGGAAAGAAAAGGATATTCACCTACACATAAAGAAGAAGAATATGGACAAAACCATCATAAGTCAAGTGAAAAAGAGAAAAACAAGACTGAAATAACGAGATTAGAACACAAGGGGAAGAGGATAAGTGAAAGACAAGAAAAGAAAGAGGACGGACAATTTGATTATGAAAATACAGGAAGAATGGCTGAAAAATGGACAGAATCAGGCCATATTGCCATAAATCATGCAATCCAGGATGAAGCCGATGACACCACTGAAAATATATTGGAAGAAAACAGAAGATATGAGACATCAAGGTCAACTCATGGCAAATCCTCACATCGAGTGAACAGGTCATCAAATGCAAATACAAGCCAGATACCATTGGTAGAGCCAAGAAGAAGAACGCGCCAGAGATCCAGTGTTAGCCAGGACAGTGACAGTGAGGGACACTCAGAAGACTCTGAGAGGCGGTCCGGGTTGGCTTCCAGAAATCATCATGAATCTGTTCGGGAGCAGTCCAGAGATGGCTCCAGACACTCCGGGTCCCATCACCAAGAAAAAGGCGGTCACGGGGACTCTGGAGACAGCTCCAGACAATCAGGAACTCATCACGTAGAGACTACCTCTCATGGACAGGCTGTCTCATGGACAGGCTGTGCTGCTGCCATCCTATGAACAGGCAAGATCAAGTCCAGCAGAAAGATATGGATCCTGCCACCAGCAGTCAGCAGACAGCCTCCCAGAGACACTGTGAAACAGGCGTGGACTTTCATCTGCAGCCAGCTGAATGTAACATACACCAGGGGACTGCTGCACTCAGCCCAGTGACAGGAGGACATTCAGAAGTCTCGGACACACAGTTATGTCAGGCCACAGACAGGGCTGGCCTCCCACCCGTGACACCTCCACTGAAGAGTCTGTGACGTGGGCCGGTCAGTGGAAAAGCCTCTGGGACGTTCGTGGTCTTTCCTACCAGGAGTACTTATGAATAGGGTCTGAGTACAATTTGGGCGATTTGGACTGGGCTCAGCATAAGTGAACACAAGGATCCTATGCAATGAGCAGGCAATTTGTGATAGCCCAGGCACTAAGGCCCTGCATGAGGCCTGGAATACTCATCTATGGACACCACGGGTCAAGAGGAGGAAGACAGGGATCCCACCATGAGCAATCGGTAGACAGCTCTGACAGCTCAGGTCCCATCATTACTACACCACCTCCCAGGGAAGGTCTGGATGCCTCCTGCGTGGGGAGCCAGGAGCCAGGCGGCGCAGACACCACGTCACGAGGAACACCCACAGGGAGATGGATCCAGGCACTCAGGGTCAGCGTCGTCACGCCGAGGCTTCCCAATCGGGCCGATAGCTCTAGAAACCTGGCAGTCCGCCAGACAATCAGCGGGTTCAGGACAAGCACACGCCGGGATCCAGGTTAGCTGTGACTGACAGTGGGGATACTCATAAAGACTTGAGAGGCAGTCTGAGTCTGCTTCCAGAAACGGTTATCATGGATCTGTTCGGGAGCAGTCAAGACATGATCCACACTTTAGGTCCCATCATGAAGACAGATCTCACTACTGGCAATCTGCAGACAGCTCCAGAAGATAATCAGGCACTCATTACACAGAGATTTCCTCTCGACAGGCTGTGTCATCCCATGAACAGGCAAGATCAAGTCTCAGCAGAAAACATGGATCCTACCACCAGCAGTCAGTGACAGCCCAGACACTCAGGAACAGGGAATGAGTTTCATCTGCAGTCAGTGACTGTGGATAGCCAGGGATCAATGCACTAGTCCAGTGACAGTGTGAGGACATTCAGAAGTCTCAGACACACAGCAGTGCTGTGGCCACAGACAGGCTAGCTCCCCATCCGCACAAGCTACCAAGAGCTCGCACGTTGGTCGGGTCAGGGAAAGGTCTGACGCTCTGTACCCTTTTTTGTCTTACCAGGTGAGTACTCATGAGCAGTCTGAATACACCCACATGATTTGACTGGCTTCCAGCAGTGCAAGAACACAAGCAGATCCTCTCCCCCAATGAGCAGGCACGAAGCACAGCTCCAGGCACTCAGCGCCCCATGAGGCTCGAACACCATCTCCAAGTGGACACTACGGGCCGAAGCAGAGGAGGAAGACAGGATCTCACCATGAGCAATCGCAGACAGCCTGACACTCAGGTCCTATCACAGCCATACCACTCTCCTGTGGGAAGGGGTCTGATGCTCTGTGGGGAGCTAGGAGCCATGCAAGCAGATAAATACGCTACGAGGAACAATCAGGAGATGATCCAGGTGCACTAGGGTCATGCTGTCACTATTGAGGCTTCCCAACGGCTGACAGTCACAGAGGACTACAGTCCAAGCAGGGATAACTGGAAGCGGGTTCAGGAAAACAAGCAATGCCAGCCGGGATCCAGCAAGAAGCAGACAGTGACAGTGAGGGACAATTTCAAATATTCCTGAGAGACAGTCTGAGTCTGCTCTAGAAACCATCATGGATCTGTTCGGGAGTTAGGGGGCCAAGACATGGGTCCAGATAATTTTGGTCCTATCACAAAAGACAGAGCCGGCCGGGGCGGCAATCTGCAGACAGCTCCAGATACCAGGCATCATGCCACACAGAGACTTCTCTCGTGGACAGGCTGTGTCATCCATGAACAGGCAAGATCAAGTCCAGCAGAGACATGGATCCTGCCACCAGCAGTCAGCAGACAGCTCCAGACACTCCAGAACAGGCGGACAAGCCTATCTGCAGTCAGCCACCGTGGACACCAGGGATCAAGCGGTACTCTGAAGCCCAGTGACAGTGAGGAGTATCTTAGAAGTCTCGGACACACAGTCAGCAAGCCAGGGCCACAGACAGGTTGGCTCCCTCATCCTCGCACAATTTTTACCAAGAGTCTGTGTACGGCCAAGCCAGTGGAAAGCTCTGGACGTTTCAGGGTCTTTTCTCTACTTTCAGGTGAGTACTCTTATGACAGGCCCGAGTACACCTCCATGACGGACTGGGCTTCAGCAGTGCAGGAACACAAGGATCCCACAATGAGCAGGCACGAGACAGCTCCCAGGCACTCAGCGCCCCATGAGGTTCGGAATACTCATTCATGGACACTACGGGCCGAAGCAGAGGAGGGAAGACAGGATCCCACCATGAGCAATCGGTAGACAGCCTGGACACCAGGGTCCCATCACAGCCAAGCACCACCTCCCAGGAAGGTCTGGATGCCTCCTGGGGAGTCAGGAGCCAGAAGTGCAAGCAGACAAAATACGCTACGAGGAAATAATCAGAGATGATCCAGGCACTCAGGGTCACGCCACCACGAGGCTTCCAATCAGGCCGACAGCCCCAGACACACACAGTCCGGCCAGGGACAATCAGCGGTCTGGTGGAAGGGCGACAGGCCGGAGATCCAGTGTTGAAGCAGACAGTGACAGTGAGGGGACACTCAGGAAGACTCTGAGAGGCAGTCTGAGCTCCGCTGCCACAACCATCATGGATCTGTTCGGGAGCAGTCAAGACATGGGTCCAGATACCTCTTTGGTCCTATCATTACGAAGACAGAGCCGGTCACGGGCAATCTGCAGACAGCTCCAGACAATCAGGCACTCGCCACAGAGACTTCCCTCTCGTGGACAGGCTGTGTCATCCAAGGACAACAGGCAAGATCAAGTCCAGCAGAAAGACATGGATCTCGGCCACCAGCAGTCAGCAGACAGCCCCAGACACTCAGGAACAGGGCGGGATGTTTCATCTGCAGTCAGCGACCGTGACACCAGGGATCAAGCGGTACTTCAGTCTCAGTGACAGTGAGGGGATATTCAGAAGTCTCGACACAGTCAGTGTCAGGGCCATGGACAGGTTACCCCCCATCCGCACACCCACTAAGAGTCTGCACGTGGCCGGCCAGTGGAAAGCCTGGACGCTCAGGTCTTTTCTCTACCAGGTGAGCACTCATGAATAGTCTGAGTACACCATGACGGACTGGCCCAGCAGGCAGAGGAACACAAGGATCCTGGCCAAATGAGCAGGCACGAGATAGCTCCAGGCACTCAGCGTCCCATGAGGTTTGAACACTCATCCATGGACACTCACGGGCCGAAGCAGAGGAGGGAAGACAGGGATCCCACCATGAGCAATCGGTACAGCTCCTGACACTCAGGGTCCTAACACAGCTAAGCACCACCTCCCAGGGAAGGTCTGATGCCTCCCGTGGGAGTCAGGAGCCAGAAGTGCATGCAGACAAACACGCTACGAGGAAATAACCTGTGAGATGGATCCAGGCACTCAGGGTCACGCTACCACGAGGCTTCCAACTGTAGCCGACAGCTCTAGATACACAGTCCTGGCCAGGGACAATCAGCGGTTCAGGACAAGCACAGGCCGGAGATCCAGTGTTAGCCAGGACAGTGACAGTGAGGACACCCAGAAGACTTGAGAGGCAGTCTGAGTCTGCTACAAACTATCATGGATCTGTTCGAGCAGCTGGAGACATGGGTCCAGATACCCCGGTCCTACTACGAAGACAGAGCCGGTCACGGGCAATCTGCAGACAGCTCCAGATAATCAGGTACTCCGCCACACAGAGATTCTCTGTGGACAGGCTGCCATCCCATGAACAGGCAAGATTGCTCAGCAGAAAGACATGGATCCCGCCACCAGCAGTCAGCAGACAGCTCCAGACACCTGGTGAACAGGGCGTGATGTTTCATCTGCAGTCACATGATCAGGGATACCCAGGGATCATGGGCTCAGTTCAGTGACAGCAGGGACATTCAGAAGTCTCGGACACATAGTCAGTGTCAGGGCCACAGATAGGCTGGGCTCCCCATCCGCAGACACTCCACCAAGAGTCTGCACGGCTGTCAGGGAAAGCTCTGGACGTTCAGGTCTTTTCTCTACCAGGTGAGCACTCATGAACAGTCTGGAGGCTAATTCATGGACGGACTGGGCCCCAGCAGTGCAGGAACACAAGGATCCCAAATGAGCAGGCACGACAGCCTGAGGCACTCAGCGCCCCAGTTGAGGTTCAAAGAACACCATTCATGGACACTACGGGCCGAAGCAGAGGATGGCACAGGGATCCCACCATGAGCACCGAGACAGCTTCCGAGCACTCAGGTCCCATCAAGGCCACACCACTCCCAGGGAAGCACCATGCTCCTGTGAGCCACAGTTGTAGAAGTGCAAGCAGACAAACACACACGAGGAACAACTGTGAGATGGATCCAGGCACTCAGGTCACGCCGCCCGAGGCTTTCCACCGGGCCGACAGCCGAGATACACACAGTCCGGCCAGGAGCACCAGCGGGTTCAGGACAAGCACAGGCCGGAGATCCAGTGTTAGCCAGGACAGTGACAGTGAGGGACACTCAGAAGACTTTAGCACAGTCTGAGTCTCTTGCCAGAAACTACTGCGGATCTGTTCGGAGCAGTCAAGACATGGGTCCAGATACCGGTCTCATCATTTAAGACAGAGCCGGCCGCGGCAATCTGCAGATAGCTCCAGATAACTGTGTACCTGTCACAGAGATTTCTCCGTGGGATAGGCCAGGCTATCCTAAAGGAACAGTGGCAGACTGGTTCCAGCAGAAAGACATGGATCCTGCCACCAGCAGTCAGCAGACAGCCCAGACACTCAGAACAGGGCGGATAAGCTTCTGCATCTGCAGTCAGCACTGTGATACCAGGGATCAAGCGTGTACTCAGTCTGAGTGGACAGTGAGGGACATCTGGAAGTCTCAGACACAGTCAGGTGTCAGGCCACAGACAGGCTGGCCCCCCATCCGCACACCCACTCCCAAGAGTCTGCACGGGCCGGCCAGTGGAAAGCTCTGGACGCTCAGGTCTCTTTTCTCTACCAGGTGAGCACCATGAACAGTCTGAGTACACCCATGGACGGATCAGCCCAGCAGTGCAGGAACACAAGGATCCTACAATGAGCAGGCACGAGACAGCCCAGGCACTGCAGCGCCCCATGAGGTTCTGGAATACCATTCATGGACACTACGGTCAAGCAGAGGAGGAAGACAGGGATCCCACCATGAGCAATCGGTAGACAGCTCTGGACACTCAGGGTCCCATCACAGCCACACCACCTCCCAGGGAAGGTCTGATGCCTCCCGTGGGGAGTCAGGAGCCAGAAGGTACAGATAAACACGCCACGGTGAACAACTGAGATGGATCTGTGGCACCAGGGCCACGCCAATACGAGGCTTTCCAATCAGGCCGATAGCTCTAGAGCACACAGTCCGCCAGGGATAATCAGCGGGTTCAGGACAAGCACGTTACTGGGATCCAGGTGTTATTCAGGACAGTGATATGAGGGACACTCAGAAGGCTCTGAGAGACAGTCTGAGTCTGCCACAGAAACTATCATGGATCTGTTCGAGCAGTCAAGTGACATGGTCCATAGATACCCTGGGTCCCATCACGAAGACAGAGCCGGCCGTGGGCAATCTGCAGACAGCTCCAGACAATCAGGCACTCGTCACACAGAGACTTCTCTCGTGACAGGCCAAAAGCCATCCTAAACAGAACAGGCAGATCAAGTCCAGCAGAAAGAGACATGGATCTCAGCCATCAGCAGTCAGCAGACAGTTCTGACACTCAGAACAGGGCGGATAAGCTGTCTGTAGTCAGGTGACCGTGACACCAGGGATCAAGCGGTACTTCAGTCTAGTGACAGGAGGGGATATCTGTAGTCTCAGACACACAGTCAGGCGCTGTGGCCACAGACAGCTGGCCCCCCATCCGCACAGCCAACAAGAGTCTACATTGGCCAATAGGAAAGGTCTGGATGTTCAGGTCTTTTTTTCTACCAGGTGAGCACTCATGAACAGTCTGAGTATTAACGGGGCGGACGGACTGGGCCTAGTGCAGTGCAGGGAACACAAGGATCCTACAATGAGCAGGTACGAGACAGCCCAGGCACTAGCGCCCCAAAAGGAGGTTCAGGATGACGGTCCATGGACACCACGGCCAAGACAGGAGTAAGACAGGGATCTCCACCATGAGCACCTAGAGACAGCTCTGGACACTCAGGGGTCCATACTACAGCCCTGGGCAATTTCTACCTCCCAGGAAGGTCTGATGCCTCCCGTGGGGAGTCAGGAGCCAGAAGTGCAAGCAGACAAACATGTCACGAGGAACAATCAGGAGATGGATCCAGGCACTCAGGGTCACGTCACCACGAGGCTTCCAATTGGGCCATAGCCTAGACACTCCAGCAGTCCAGCCAGGGACAATCAGCGGGGTTCAGACAAGCACGGGGCCGGAGATCCAGTGTTAGCCAGGATAGTGACAGTGAGGGACATCAAAGACTCTGAGAGGCAGTCTGAGTTTGCTTCCCAGAATCCACTGCGGATCTGTTCGGGAGCAGCAAGAGATGGCCTCCACACTGGGTCCACTACTAAGATACAAAGTCGGTCACAGGTACTCTGGAGACAGCTCCAGACAATCAGGAACTCATCACATGGAGATTCTCTCATGACAGGCTGCATCATCCCATGAACAAAGAGACTGAGCCCAGGAGAAAGACATGGATCTCAAATGCACCAGCAGTCAGCAGACACTCCCAGACACTCAGAAACTGACGTGGATAAGTTTCATCTGCAGTCAGAATGTGGACACCAGGGACTAAGAGGTAGTCAGTCAGTGACAGTGAGGGATATTCAGAAGACTCAGATACACAGTCAGTGTCAGGCCAGGTACAGGCTGGTCCCATCCGCACAGCCACTTCAAGAGCTCCGTAATACGTGGCCGGGCCAGGGGAAAAAGGTCTGGATGTCTAGGTCTTTCTCTACCAGGTGAGTACTCTATGAACAGTCTGAGTCTGCTCATGTAATGGACTGGCCTAGCTCTGGTGGAAGATAAGGGTCCTGCGAATGAGCAAGCACGAGACAACTCCAGGCACTCAGTGTCCCATGAGGGTCAGGACACAAATTCATGGACACCGAGGGTCAAGCAGAAGAGGGAAGGCAGGATCTCACCATGAGCAATCGGGTAGAGAGCTCTGGGACACTCAGGGTCCTATCACAGCCACACCACCTCCCAGGGAAGGTCTGATGCCTCCCGTGGGCAGTCAGGATCAAGAAGTGCAAGCAGACAAACACGTCATGAAGAACAATCAGGAGACGGATACAGGCACTCAGGGTCACGTCACCACGAGGCTTCCACTCAGGCCGACAGCTCTAGACACTCACAGTCTGGCCAGGGACAGTCAGAGTGGTCCAGGAGAAGCACACTTCGGGGATCCAGTGTTAGCCAGGACAGTGCCAGTGAGGGACACTCAGAAGACTCTGAGAGGCAGTCTGAGTCTGCTTCCAGAAATCCTCATGGATCTGTTCGGGAGCAGTCAAGAGATGTATCCAGACACCCCCGATCCTATCATCATGATACAGGCAATCATGTTCAATCTTCCTCTGTATATTCAGACACTACTACCAGTAAAGAACATGGTCACTTCGGTAGTCTTTCACAAGATTCTGCATATCATTCAGGAATACAGTCACGTGGCAGTCCTCACAGTTCTAGTTCTTATAATTATCACTCTGAGGGCACTGATATGGAAAGAGGTCAATCAGGTTTAGTTTGGAGACATGGCAGCTATGGTAGTGCAGATTATGATTATGGTGAATCCAGGTTTAGACACTGTCAGCATGGAAGTGTTAGTTACAATTCCAATCCTGTTGTTTTCAAGGAAAGATCTGATATCCGAAAAGCAAGTGAATTTGGTGAAGATCATCCAAGGTATTATGCAACATATATTAATAGGCAACCAGGTTTATATGGCCATTCTAGTGATATATCAAAACAACTGGGATTTAGTCAGTCACAGAGATACTATTACTATGAGTAAGAAATTAATGGCAAAAGAATTAATCCACGAATAGAAGAATGAATCAAGATCACTTTCAATCAAGAAACTTCATAATACTTTCAGGGAAGTTATCTTTTCCTGTCAATCTGTTTAAAATATGGTACATTATTTCATTAGTTTGGTGGTAGTTTATTTTTATTGTGTAGTGATCTTTAAACTCTATAGTTCAGAAATATTAAATAGAAGAAATCAATATCATGGAGAGCTATCTTTACAAAACTAGGAGTATTTGGCTGGGTGCAGAGGCTCACACCTGTAATCCCAGCACTTTGGGAGGCCGAGGCAGGCAGATCACGAGGTCAGATCAAGACCATCCTGGCCAGCATGGTGAAACCCCATCTCTACTAAAAATACAAAAAATTAGTCAGGCATGGTGGCAGGTGCCTGTAGTCCCAGCTACTCGGGAGGCTGAGGCAAGAGAATGGCGTGAACTCGGGAGGCGGAGCTTGCAGTGAGCGGAGATCACGCCACTGCACTCCAGCCTGGGCTTCAGAGCGAGACTCCATCTCAAAAAAAAAAAAAAAAAAGAAGAAGAAAAACAAAACTAGGAGTATTTCAGGAGATTGGGGTTCAAGTAATGTTTTATGTTTTTGAAAGTTTAAGTTTTAGATACTCTCTGAATTTCTAAATTAATCTTTTCCAGAAATATCGAAGGAGCTAAAAATATAAAACAATTCTGTATACCAAAGTGGCTGTATCAACATCAGGGCTAGCACATCTTTCTCTATTATCCTTCTATTGGAATTCTATTATTCTGTATTCAAATAAATAATCTTGGACATAATTAGTATTTTAGTAAACTGCATTTAAATTAAAAATAAACTATTGATCATTTAATACTGTTTGTCTCTTGTATGCTTATTTGTCATAAACCCAAAATTACATACTTCCCCATGGCCAGAATTAGATGTCTTCTATATCGCTGGAAAGCTATATGAACATAGAACAGATACAGTACATTCAAAATAACAAGTAATAAATAATGAAAGACAAAATTTAACCAAGGCCTATATTTTTCTCCAACATAATCACTGTCCCACAATCACATTCAGGAAAACAAAAAACAAAAAACACACTTTGTTCAATCATGAGAATCACTATTATTAATATGGAATTATCACCTTAGGTGGTGATTAAGCCATGTCAAAGGAAGATCAGGAAACAGGAATTATTGACCACAGATCCTTCTTCCAAAGACATTAGAAGATGCTTTGCAATGGAGACTAGTTGGAGCAGAGAAGTTGTGCTGATATATCTTGACAAAGGAAAAAGAATTAAAAATAAGTGCCCTCCTGGCCTGGAAGGAAAATATTTGTATCTTTATAATTTAAGCAAGTAGATGAAAAGGCTGAAAAAAGAATAGTAAAAATATGAATGAAGTTCTACCATTAGAAGGAATACACTTCTGTAAGAATCATACCCAAATTTTCATTCCCATAATATCACACTAGAAGTGATATGTAGGCCAGTGGTCATATTTTGCAGATGAATCTATTACGCAAATAATCCACACCAAAGTAGCACTTAGATCTCAAGTCTCCAAATCTGCGTTTAGTGGTTTTATAAAAGCACTTCCAAAAAGCTGCCTTTATTGAACTTACACTTCAGTAAACCAAGATAAAGTAAAATTGTCAGAGTTACAATAATACCCAATAGGTGCAGGGACTGAATGAAAAGCAACAAACAAACTCATTTTTCTAGTTAGCCTCAAACAATATGTGTGTATTTGTTCTCCACAAGCCACTTGAAGATGGTATTTCCTTCCCACCAGTGTCATGCTTTCCTGCTTGAAGTGCTTCCCCAAATGCCCCTACAAAGCTGCAAACTCCATAAGATTCCATACCTTTAGGCCTCATTGAACTTCCACAGACATACACAGAGAGAATGCCTTTGTCCATTTCTCTGGTACACTTTGCCACCTTGCCCCCAGTCTCACAACCATCTTATGCGGCTACCTCCTGTAGCTCCTGTCTAAAGGAGCCAGGCATAACTAACAGGCTAAGAAAAAAATATATAATAAGAAAACAGTGCAGACCTAGTCTAACTATGAGAGAGGTACTGATAGAAGGACACACAGACCTTAAAATAGTTTTAGCCAGACGTTTAGACACCTAAATTCTCAAGTTTTCTGAAGAACCCATAAACAACTCAACCTTTTCTTCCATATCCCTGCCCACTCAAGGATAAAATTACCAGACACTCCTTTTTGTTCTTTGAGAAAAAATAAGTTTACCCAAAAAGATGCCAACAAGATTCACTTGGAACATCAAGTTTTCTCCATCCTCTCTCCTTCCTTTATAAAATTTGTTTTTTTACCTTTTTCCTTAACTTGGTCGACCAATTCTCTCACATATAAATCAACAATTTTTCTGCAAGATAACTACATGTTTCTAAATTTTTCTTTGGGAAAATTTTTTTTAAAATTTTGTGGGTACATAGTAGGTATACATATATTTATGGGATACATGAGATATTTTGATATAGGCATACAATGTATGATAATCATATCAAAATAATCAGGTATCCATCACCTCAAGCATTGATCATTTGTGTTACATGCAATCCAATTATACCACTTTACTTATTTTTAAATGCACAAAAAATTACTGTTGACTGCATTTGCCCTATTGTGCTATCAAATACTAAATCTTATTCACTGTATTTAACTATATTTTTGTGCCTATTAACCATCTCCACTTACCCTCTACCTTCCATTACCCTTCCCAGCCTCTGGTAACCATCATTCTACTTTCTATCTCCATGAGTTCAATGGTTTTAATTTTTAGATCTCACAAATGAATGAGAACACGTGAAGATTATCTTTCTCTGCCTGACTTACTTTACTTAATATGATGTCCTCCAGTTCCATCCATGTTGCTGCAAATGACAGGATCTCATTCTTTTCTATAACTCCATTGTGTGTAGGTACATTTTCTTTATCCATTCATCTCTTAATGGACACTTAGGTTGCTTCCAAATTTGGCTACTGTGAATACTGCTGCAATAAACATTGGAGTGCAGGTATCTCTTCAATATACTGACTTACATTCTTTTGGGTATGTACCTAGCAGTGGATTGCTGGATCATGTAGTAGCTCTATTTTTAGTTTTTTGAAAAACTTTCATGCTGTTCTCCACAGTAGCTGTAATTTACAATCCCACCAAGAGTGTACTACTGTTCCCTTTTCTCTATATCCTTGCCTTTTGTTTGTTATTTCCTGCTTTTGGATAAAAGCTATTTTAACTCAGTGAGATGATATCTCCTTATATTTTTGATTTGCATTTCTAAGATGAACAATGATAGTAAGCACCTTTTCATATACTTGTTTGCCATTTGTATGTCTTCTTTTGACAAACGCCTGTTCAGATCTCTTGCCCTTACACACCCACCAACAGCATACTACTGTTCCCTTTTCTCTACATCCTTGCCTTTTGTTATTTCCTGCTTTAGGATAAAAGCTATTTTAACTCAGATGATATCTTGTTGTATTTTTGATTTGCATTTCATTTGCATCTGATGATCAATGATGGTAAGCACCTTTTCATATACCTGTTTGTCATTTGTATGTCTTCTTTTGAGAAATGCCTGTTCAGATCTTTTGCCCATATTTTAATTGGATTATTAGATTTTTTTTCTATTGAATTGTCTAAGCTACTTACATAGTCTAGTTATTAATCCCTTATCAGATGGAGAGTTTGCAAATATTTTCTCCCATTCTGTGGTTTGTCTCTTCACTTTGTTGATTGTTTCCTTTGTGGTGCAGAAGCTTTTTAACTAGATGTGGATCCCATTTGTCCACTTTTGCTTTGGTTGCTTGTGCTTAGGGTATTACTTGAGAAATCTTTGCCCAGAAATCTTTCAAAATGTCCTAGATGGTTTCCCCAAAGTGTTCTTTTAGTAGTTTCATAATTGTAGGTCTTAGATTTAAGTATTTAATACATTTTTTATTTTTGCATATGGTGAGAGATGAGGGTCTAATTTTATTCTTCTCCATGTGGGTATCCAATTTTCTCAGCACCACTTATTGAAGACACTCTCCTTTCCCCAGTGTATGTTCTTGGCACCTTTGTTAAAAGTGAGTTCACTGTGCATATATAACTTTATTTCTGAATTCTCTCTTCTGTTCTATTGATCTATATTGTTGCTTTTATGCCAGTACCATACTGAGTCAGGTAATGCGACTCTTCCAGTTTTGTTCTTTCTGTTCAGGATAACTTTGTCTATTCTGGGTCTCGTGTGGTTCCACATAAATTTTAGAATTATTTTTCCTATTTCCGTGAAGAATGTCATTGGTATTTTGATAGAGATTACACTGAATTTATAGATTGCTTTGGGTGGTATGGACATTTTAACAATATTTATTCTTCCAATCTATAAACGTAAAGTATATTTCCATTTGTGTCCTCTTCCATTCTTGCATTAATGTTTTATAGTTTCATTGTAGGGATCTTTCACTTCTTTGATTAAGTTTATTTCTAGGTATTTTATTTTATTTGCAACTTTGTGTGTGTGTGTGTAACAAAGTCTCTGTCGCTAAGGCTGGAGTGCTGTGGCGCAATCTCAGCTCACTGCAACCTCCACCTCCCGAGTTCAAGTAGTTCTCTTACCTCAGCCTCCAAAGTAGCTGGGAATACAGGCACATGCCACTACACCCAGCTAATTTTTGTATTTTTAGTAGAGATGGGGTTTTGCCATTTTGGCCAGGCTAGTCTTGAACTCCTGACCTCAGGTGATCTGCCCAACTCAGCCTCCCAAAGTGCTGGGATTACAGGCATGAGCCACCATGCCTGGCCTTATTTGCAACTATTATAAATAAAATTACTTTTTTATTATACTTTAAGTTCTGAGGTACATGTGCAGAACGTGGGGGTTTGTTATGTAGGTATAAATGTGCCATGGTGGTTTGCTGCACCCATCAACCTGTCATCTATGTTTTAAGCCTCGCATGCATTAGGTATTTCTCCTAATGCTCTCTCTGCTTGCTCCCCCGCCCCCACTCCCTGACAGGTCCCAGTGTGTGAT